TTGCAATTTTTAGGAATTTTTGCGATTTTTGCAATTTTCAGGAATTTTTGCGATTTTGCAATTTTCAGGAATTTTTGCGATTTTTGCAATTTCAGTCATTTTTGCGATTTTTGCAATTTTCAGGAATTTTTGCGATTTTTTGCAATTTTCAGGAATTTTTGCGATTTTCGGTTTTCAGTCATTTTTACGATTTTTGCAATTTTCAGGAATTTTCGCGATTTTTGCAATATTCAGTCATTTTTACGATTTTTGCAATTTTCAGTCATTTTTGCGATTTTTGCAATTTTCAGGAATTTTTGCAATTTTCAGTCATTTTTGCGATTTTTGCAATTCACAGGAATTTTTGCGATTTTTGCAATTTTCAGTCATTTTTACGATTTTTGCAATTTTCAGGAATTTTCGCGATTTTTGCAATTTTCAGTCATTTTACGATTTTTGCAATTTTCAGTCATTTTTACGATTTTTGCAATTTTCAGTCATTTTTGCGATTTTTGCAATTTTCAGGAATTTTTGCAATTTTCAGTAATTTTTGCAATTTTCAGTCATTTTTGCGATTTTTGCAATTTTCAGGAATTTTTGCGATTTTTGCAATTTTCAGTCATTTTTGCGATTTTTGCAATTTTCAGTCATTTTTGCGATTTTTGCGATTTTCAGTCATTCTTGCGATTTTTGCAATTTTCAGTCATTTTTGCGAGATTTTTGCAATTTTCAGGAATTTTTGCAATTTTCAGGAATTTTTGCGATTTTTGCAATTTTCAGTCATTTTTGCGATTTCTGCAATTTTCAGTCATTTTTGCGATTTTTGCAATTTTCAGTCATTTTTGCGATTTTTGCAATTTTAAGGCATTTTTGCGATTTTTGCAATTTTCAGTCATTTTTGCGATTTTTGGCAATTTTTGCAATTTTCAGTCATTTTCGAGATTTTTGCAATTTTCAGTCATTTTTGCGATTTTTGCAATTTTCAGGAATTTTTGCGATTTTTGCGATTTCCAGTCATTTTTGCGATTTTTGCAATTTTCAGGAATTTTTGCAATTTTCAGGAATTTTCAGTCATTTTTACGATTTTTGCAATTTTCAGTCCATTTTTGCGATTTTTGAATTTTCAGGAATTTTTGCGATTTTTGCAATTTTCAGGAATTTTCACGATTTTTGCGATTTTCAGTCATTTTTGCGATTTTTGCAATTTTCAAGAATTATTGCGATTTTTGCAATTTTCAGGAATTTTTGCGATTTTTGCAATTTTCAGGAATTTTTACGATTTTTGCGATTTTCAGTCATTTTTGCGATTTTTGCAATTCTCAGGAATTTTTGCGATTTTTGCAATTTTCAGTCATTTTTACAATTTTTGCAATTTTCAGTCATTTTTACAATTTTTGCAATTTTCAGTCATTTTTGCGATTTTTGCAATTTTCAGTCATTTTTACAATTTTTGCAATTTTCAGTCATTCTTGCGATTTCTGCAATTTCAGGAATTTTTGCGATTTTTGCAATTTTTAGTCAATTTTACAATTTTTGCAATTTTTCAGTCATTTTTACAATTTTTGCAAATTTTCAGTCATTTTTGCGATTTTTTGCAATTTTCAGTCATTTTTACAATTTTTGCAATTTTCAGTCATTTTTGCGATTTTTGCAATTTTCAGGAATTTTTGCGATTTTTGCAATTTTTAGTCAATGTTGCGATTTTTGCAATTTTCAGGATTTTTTGCGATTTTTGCAATTTTCAGTCATTTTTACAATTTTTGCAATTTTCAGGAATTTTTGCGATTTTTGCAATTTTCAGTCATTTTTTACGATTTTTGCAATTTTCAGTCATTTTTACGATTTTTGCGATTTTCAGTCATTTTTGCGATTTCTGCAATTTTCAGGAATTTTTGCAATTTTTGCAATTTTCAGGAATTTTTGCGACTTTTTGCAATTTTCAGTCATTTTTACGATTTTTGCAATTTTCAGGAGTTTTTGCGATTTTTGCAATTTTCAGGAATTTTACGATTTTTGCGATTTTTCAGTCATTTTTGCGATTTTGCGATTTTCAGTCATTTTGCGATTTTTGCAATTTTCAGTCATTTTTGCGATTTTTGCAATTTTCAGGAATTTTTGCGATTTTTGCAATTTTCAGTCTTTTGCGATTTTTGCAATTTTCAGGAATTTTTGCGATTTTTGCAAAATTTTCAGGCATTTTTGCGATTTTTGCAATTTTCAGGAATTTTTACGATTTTTGCGATTTTCAGTCATTTTTACGATTTTTGCAATTTTCAGTAATTTTTGCGATTTTTGCGATTTTCAGTCATTTTTGCGATTTTTGCAATTTTCAGGAATTTTTGCGATTTTTGCAATTTTCAGTCATTTTAACGATTTTTGCAATTCTCAGGAATTTTTGCGATTTTTGCAATTTTCAGGAATTTTTACGATTTTTTGCGATTTTCAGTCATTTTTTGCGATTTTTGCAATTTTCAGGAATTTTTGCGATTTTTGCAATTTTCAGGAATTTTTGCGATTTTTGCAATTTTCAGGGATTTTTGCGATTTTTGCAAAATTTTCAGGCATTTTTGCGATTTTTGCAATTTTCAGTCATTTTTGCGATTTTTGCAATTTTCAGTCATTTTTGCGATTTTTGCAATTTTCAGTCATTTTTGCGATTTTTGCAATTTTCAGGCATTTTTGCGATTTTTGCAATTTTCAGTCATTTTTGCGATTTTGCAATTTTCAGGAATTTTTGCGATTTTTGCAATTTTCAGGCATTTTGCGATTTTTGCAAATTTTCAGGAATTTTTGCGATTTTTTGCAATTTTCAGGCATTTTTGCGATTTTCGTAATTTTCAGGAATTTTTGCGATTTTTGCAATTTTCAGTCATTTTTGCGATTTTTGCAATTTTCAGTCATTTTTGCGATTTTTGCAATTTTCAGTCATTTTTGCGATTCTTGCAATTTTCAGTCATTTTTGCGATTCTTGCAATTTTTAATTTTTTGCGATTTTTGCAATTTTCAGTCTATTTTTTGCGATTTTTGCAATTTCAGGAATTTTTGCGATTTTTGCAATTTTCAGTCATTTTTACGATTTTTGCAATTTTCAGTCATTTTTGCGATTTTTGCAATTTTCAGGAATTTTTGCGATTTTTCCAATTTTCAGGAATTTTTACGATTTTTGCGATTTTCAGTCATTTTTGCGATTTTTGCAATTTTCAGGAATTTTTGCGATTTTTGCAATTTTCAGGAATTTTTGCGATTTTTGCAATTTTCAGTCATTTTTGCGATTTTTGCAATTTTCAGTCATTTTTACGATTTTTGTAATTTTCAGGAATTTTTGCAATTTTCAGGCATTTTTGCGATTTTTGCAATTTTCAGGAATTATTGCGATTTTTGTAATTTTCAGTCATTTTTGCGATTTTTGCAATTTTCAGTCATTTTGGCGATTTTTGCAATTTTCAGGCATTTTGCGATTTTTGCAATTTTCAGTCATTTTTGCGATTTTTGCAATTTTCAGGAATTTTTGCGATTTTTGCAATTTTCAGTCATTTTTGCGATTTTTGCAATTTTCAGTCATTTTTGCGATTTTTGCAATTTTCAGGCATTTTTGCGATTTTTGCAATTTTCAGTCATTTTTGCGATTCTTGCAATTTCAGGAATTTTTGCAATTTTTGCAATTCTCAGGCATTTTTCAGGAATTTTTGCGATTCCTGCAATTTTTTCTAATTTTCAGGAATTTTTGCAATTTTTGCTATTTCTGTAATTTTCAGGAATTTTTGCGATTTTTGCAATTTTTTCTAATTTTTCAGGAATTTTTGCAATTTTAGCTATTTCTGCAATTTTCAGGAATTTTTGCGATTTTTGCAATTTTTTCTAATTTTCAGGAATTTTTGCAATTTTTGCTATTCCTGCAATTTTCAGGAATTTTTGCAATTTTCACAATTTTCAGGCATTTTTGCGATTTTTGCAATTTTCAGGAAATTTTTTGCGATTTTTGCAATTTTTTCTAATTTTCAGGAATTTTTGCAATTTTTGGTATTTTCAGGCATTTTTGCGATTTTTGCAATTTTCAGGCAATTTTGCGATTTCTGCAATTTTTAGGAATTTTTAGGAATTTTCATAATTTTCCGGAATTTTTCCAATTTTCAGGATTTTTTGCAATTTCTGAAATTTCCACAATTTTCAGGAATATTTGCGATTTTTGCATTTTTCAGGAATTTGAATCGTGATTTGGTTTTCTCAATCCAGAATTTCCTTCCACGACTTGAGGTAAATCAACTCATCATACAATGTAAATACATTTTTTCTTCATACTATAATTTTCAAATATCTGCGTAGCGTAATTTTCTGTGCATTCGGATTCCACGTCGGCGAACCAAGTTCAATTCCTGCGACAGGCGGTTTTTTTATGTTTTCTCAAGGTATTTTTCCGAAAAATTAACTTTCTATGTCAAGTAAAGTAATGTTTGAAAAAAGTAGTCTCCTTTCTTATGCAGAAGGGATATTTTCCTTCCTCCATTAAAGTGATTCGCTTCAATAATGTATTTTTTTCAGGATAAAAGCTTGATTCAGCGCCAATCATAAAGGTATTAGCTATTATTTTCTTATGTGAAAAGATTCGTCATTCGAATTTACCGCTAATATCAGTGATTTAAACTTACCGCCATTACCCGAAACGCTCTGATTGGTCTCCTATACCTGCCGATACATATGTTTGGGCAAAACAGATTTGACAACACACATTTGAATATACGGTCTTCGTGGTAGTATACACGTCCAAATTTTACGTCAAGTTGCCAGGAATACTGTCAGAACTCAGATGAGTCAGATGTCAAAGTCAAATAGTGACGATTTGGGTGAACTGACGTGTTATTTTAAGAAATTTGTTAAGCTTCTGAATTTTGATCTTTTGAACTTCTACGACTAATTAATCTACGTTCAGAAATAGATAGGCCACATCAGAGAATCCCATAGTCTTTCTATAAATACCCGAGTCTCTCAGTCAACCAAAGTTTCGTTAACCTCTCACATCCAAGATGAGTCTGCAGTGGACTTTAATCGCCGGGTTTTTATACCTCGAAATAGCCGTCGTCCTCCTTTTGGTCCTGCCCATCGCCAGCCCAACGAGATGGAACAGGTTCTTCAAGTCCAAGTTCCTGCAAGGATTGCAAAAACAAGCCGGCTTCTACTTCTTGATCCTTCTGGCAATCCTGGTACTCTTTCTCCTTGATGCCATCAGGGAAATGAGAAAATACTCCAATGCACAAGGTAATCCCAACATTCATTGACTTGTTAACTGTTTCTTCCAACAATTATGATATTCACCAGCTGCTGAGGATGGTCATACCCATCTGGACAGGGAGATGCAGGAATCCATGAGACTATTCAGAGCCCAGCGCAACTTCTACATCTGTGGGTTTGCCTTGTTCCTCTCTTTGGTCATCAGACGCTTGGTGACCTTGATTTCCCAATTGGCCAGCATGCAAGCACAATCTGAGGCTTCCATGAGACAGGCCCAGAGTGCCACCACTGCTGCCAAAAGTCTGTTGGCCCATCATGGGGAAATTGATCAGAACAACAGCAATGAGGCTCATGATAAAGAGGTATTGTTCAAACATCATTACAAAAATGAAAATTTCATCAGTGTCTATTGTCTCTTCCTTCAAAATTCTTATAATCAATCATTTTTTGTTTCTTTCTTATGAAGACTTCTAATCACAATGAATACTTGATTTTTGATGAGTCATCTGTTGTATATTGTAGAGGGATGAAAAGTTATATAATTGTGGTTTGCTAGTAGCTGAGTTTTTTAATTATTGGTGATTATTTTATGGTTGGTTGAAATTCTGTAGGATTTCTAGGAATTTTCAAACTATATTGTTTCAATTTTTTTTGGAATTACTTGGGATTTGTTTTTTCTGTAATTTCTGGGGAATTTTGGGAATTCCTTGAAATCCCAATAGATTTCCCTGAAATTCCTATAGAATTCTATGAAATTCCTTGGTAATCATTATGGAATTCCTAAGAATTTTTGGAAATACTTTGAAATAAATGAACTCTATTTGAAATACTGAATATCTCTGAATTTTTGTGAATTTAGCAATGGGTACCTTGAAATTTCTTGATAGTAATTTATGTATAGGTCTCTTCACATTTCCTGGAATTCTGTTGAAATACCTCAAAATTCATTCTGGGTGATTTTTTATCCTTTTTTCATTTTGGACTTCCTTGAATTGCTTAGAATTCCAAATAATTCCTTAGCATTTCTTCCTTGACAATTTTTTCAATCTGTTTGAAATTCTCTCCTATTTTTTGGAAATTCTTTTTATATTTTTAAAGTTATTTTTGTGAATCCTGAAGATTGTGGTGATAGTTTTGGATTTCTCAGAAATTTCATTCAAATTCTTGAGGTTCCTCATTTTTTTTTTCAGTTCCTTGGATTTTTTTAGTGAATCTTTGATATTATAGGTACTTTGAAATTCCTTGACAGTAATTTCCCTATAGCTCCTTTAACATTTCCTGGAATTTTCTTGAAATACCCTAAAATTCATTGTGGGTGACATTATTTGTTTTTTTTCTTTAATCCTAATAGCTCATCAGTGTCTATTGTCTCTTCCACCAAAATTCTTATAATCAATCATTTTTTTTATGAAGACTTCTAATCACAATTAATACTTGATTTCTGATGAGTCATCTCTTGTATATTGCAGAGGGATGAAGAGATAAAATTGTGGTTTGGTGATTGATTTATGGTTGGTTGAAATTCTGTAGGATTTCTAGGAATGTTCAAACTATATTGTTTCAAATTTTCTTGGATTTACTTGGGATTTGTTTTTTCTGTAATTTCTGGGGAATTTTCTGAAATGTTTTGGAATTTTAGGAATTCCTTGAAATCCTTATAGAATTCCCTGAAATTCCTATAGAATTCCATGAAATTCTCTGATAATCATTATGGAATTCAAAAGAACTTTTGGAAATACTTTGTAATGAATGAACAATATTTGAAATACTGAATATCTCTGAAATTTTGGGAATTTAGCAATGGGTACCTTGAAATTTCTTGATAGTAATTTATGTATTGGTCTCTTCACATTTCCTGGAATTATGTTGAAATACCTCAAAATTTATTCTGGGTGATATTTGATCCTTTTTTTATTTTGGACTTCCTTGAATTGCTTAGAATTCCAAATAATATCTTAGCATTTCTTCCTGGATAATTTTTTTAATTCTCTCCTATTTTTTGGAAATTCTTTTTATATTTTTGAAGTTTTTTTGTGAATCCTGGAAATTGTGGTGATAGTTTTGGATTTCTCAGAAATTTCATTCAAATTCTTGAGGTTCCTCATTTTTTTTTTCAGTTCCTTGGATTTTTTTAGTGAATCTTTGATATTATAGGTACTTTGAAATTCCTTGACAGTAATTTCCCTATAGCTCCTTTAACATTTCCTGGAATTTTCTTGAAATACCCTAAAATTCATTGTGGGTGACATTATTTGTTTTTTTTCTTTAATCCTAATAGCTCATCAGTGTCTATTGTCTCTTCCACCAAAATTCTTATAATCAATCATTTTTTTTATGAAGACTTCTAATCACAATTAATACTTGATTTCTGATGAGTCATCTCTTGTATATTGCAGAGGGATGAAGAGATAAAATTGTGGTTTGGTGATTGATTTATGGTTGGTTGAAATTCTGTAGGATTTCTAGGAATGTTCAAACTATATTGTTTCAAATTTTCTTGGATTTACTTGGGATTTGTTTTTTCTGTAATTTCTGGGGAATTTTCTGAAATGTTTTGGAATTTTAGGAATTCCTTGAAATCCTTATAGAATTCCCTGAAATTCCTATAGAATTCCATGAAATTCTCTGATAATCATTATGGAATTCAAAAGAACTTTTGGAAATACTTTGTAATGAATGAACAATATTTGAAATACTGAATATCTCTGAAATTTTGGGAATTTAGCAATGGGTACCTTGAAATTTCTTGATAGTAATTTATGTATTGGTCTCTTCACATTTCCTGGAATTATGTTGAAATACCTCAAAATTTATTCTGGGTGATATTTGATCCTTTTTTTATTTTGGACTTCCTTGAATTGCTTAGAATTCCAAATAATATCTTAGCATTTCTTCCTGGATAATTTTTTTAATTCTCTCCTATTTTTTGGAAATTCTTTTTATATTTTTGAAGTTTTTTTGTGAATCCTGGAAATTGTGGTGATAGTTTTGGATTTCTCAGAAATTTCATTCAAATTCTTGAGGTTCCTCATTTTTTTTTTCCACTTCCTTGGATTTTTTTAGTAAATCTTTGATATTATAGGTACTTTGAAATTCCTTGATAGTAATTTCTCTATAGATCCTTTAACATTTCCTGGAATTATCTTGAAATACCCTAAAATTCATTGTGGGTGACATTATTTGTTTTTTTTTTCATTAATTCGGACTCAATGGAGTTGCTTGGAATTTTTAATAATTCCTTAGCACTCCTTCCTCTGTGATGGCTTTAATTTGTTTGAAATTCTGTCATATTTTTTGTAAATTTCTTGTCATCTTTCTTCAAATTCATTGTTTTTTTTTGATTGATTGTTTTTATTACCCCAAGAAACATATCTGTTCATAATAGGGATACATGAACACATATAAAAAATAATAAGATTCATACTTTTTCTCAAGATAAAAGTTATAACATTCCAGTTCTGAGTAATCAAATCATGTCAAATATTTGTCAATCAAATTGTCCTGACCAGGTATTGTTTAAGATTGACTTCAAATCTTAGATGTTATTATGATTGATTGGGATTTCTCAGAAATGTTTTGAACTCCTTAAATTTTTTGTAGTTTCTTGTTTTGTTGTTGCTGTGATGGCTTTGAGTTGTTTGAAATTCTGTTATATTTCAGTAAATTTCTTGTTATCTTTCTTCAAAGTCATTGTTTTCTTTTGGATTGATTGTTTTTATTATCTGTTTATAATAGGGATACATGAACACATGTAAAAAATAATGAGATTCATACTTTTTCTTGAGATAAAAGTTACATTTCACTTCTGAGTAATCAAATCATGTCAAATATTTTTCAATCAAATTGTCCTGACCAGGTATTGTTTAAGATTGACTTCAAATCTTAGATGTTATATATGATTGATTGGGATTTCTCAGAAATGTTTTGAACTCCTTAAATTTTTTTTAGTTTCTTGTTTTGTTGCTATTTTTTTTAGTTTCCTAAATTTTTTTGACCCCTTCAGGATTCCTTCATTCTTTTCAGATTCTTGATTTATTTCTTCTTCAGGATTCCTTCAATTTTTCTAGTTTCCTGAATATTTTTTTAAATTCCTGGATGTTTTAGGTGAGTGAACTCAAGACCAAGATTTCTCACCTTGAAGATGAACTGAAATTGGAGAAAAAGGACAAAACTGCAGTGAAGACCCAAGCTGACAACTTGGCTAGAGAGTATGATAGACTTGCAGATGAACACAGCAAGCTACAGAAGAAAATAACTGTTGGAGCTGGTGATAAAAAAGATGAGTAAGATTTGAGGATTGGAATCAATTCAATTATATGATTTATATTGTTGAAGCTTTAACTTTTGAGGCTGTCTAAAGTATTTATTATTAATTTTTGTATGAGTTATCAAGCATTGGGAAAGTGGTTTTTGACATATTTTGAGAATTTGTTGGGAATAATGACTATAATACAATGTTTAGTCATCTGAGACATTTTATATAAGATATTTTCATGTTTGTTGCTTCACATTTTTATGAAAAAATAAATGTTTTTTAAATTATAGAAATACACTACTGTGTGAATATTGCTCAAATTATTTGGAATTCCTTTTACTTTTTGAAATTCTTTGAAGTTCCTTTCAAAATTCATTGAAATTCCAAGGATATTTCTGAATTTTCTTCAATTTCCGGGAATTTTTATGAAAGTTCTCATAATACTCTGGTTTTTTAAATATCCTTCAAGTTCTCTGGAATTTTGGAATTCATTGATTCTTTAAAATTCCTCAGTATTTTCTTGGGATTTCTGAAGTTCTTGGGAATCCCATAGAAATTTTTTGAGACTTCTTAGCAAGGTTTGGACATAATTTCAACCAGGAACTCTTATATTCAAAAGAGTGCCTCTGATTTATCAATATTCAAATTCTAAATTTGAATAGGTGGAGGAAATCTGTCTGAAAAGATGCTAATTAAGAAACCATTTGCATATATCTTCTCTGGAATTTTGGAATTCATTGATTCTTTAAAATCTAGGATTTTCTTGGGATTCCTGAAGTTCTTGGGAATCCCATAGAAATTTTTTGTGACTTCTTAGCAAGATTTGGACATAATTTTAACCAGGAAATCTTATATTCAAAAGTGTGCCTCTGATTTATTAATATTCAAATTCTAAATTTGAATAGATGGGGGAAATCTGTCTGAAAAGATGCTAATTAAGAAACCATTTGCATATATCTTCTCTGGAATTTTGGAATTCATGGATTCTTTAAAATCTCTTAGGATTTTCTTGGGATTTCTGAAGTTCTTGGGAATCCCATAGAAATTTTTTGAGACTTCTTAGCATGGTTTGGACATAATTTCAACCAGGAACTCTTATATTCAAAAGAGTGCCTCTGATTTATCAATATTCAAATTCTAAATTTAAACAGGTGGAAGAAATCTGTCTGAAAAGGTGCTAATTAAGAAACCATTTGCATATATCTTCTCTGGAATTTTGGAATTCATTGATTCTTTAAAATTTCTTAAGATTTTCATGGGATTTATGAAGTTCTTGGGAATCCCATAGAAATTTTTTGAGACTTCTTAGCAAGGTTTGGACATAATTTCAACCAGGAACTCTTATATTCAAAAGAGTGCCTCTGATTTATCAATATTCAGATTCTAAATTTAAATAGGTGGAGGAAATCTGTCTGAAAAGATGCTAATTAAGAAACCATTTGCATATATCTTCTTCAATTATCATGACTATAAATACAGGCATAATTATGAAAAGGCATTAATTATTTGAACCCAAAACATTGTAGCTTGGAGTTTTCTTTGTGAATCGATTATCAACTGGCCGAGTACAACTGATGGGACTTGGTGAGCAGAAACAGCGGATAATCGATTAGCGAAATTCCTTTATAATTTCTATCTTAAGGCTGTAGATATGTTGAATGGTAAAAGTCCTGGAGTTAATTTTTCATTAATTACATATAAGCAAGGTTTTTCTTTCAATAAAACGTTTTTAATACAAAACAATGATTTTATTGCCACCAAAAACTAACAGAAAAGCTCTTCTCCAAGGAGGTCACATGGTGCCACCATTTTACAGGTATGAACAACATTTCCCCTGGTTCTAACAGACACTTGTACATGGAGGCCTTTGAATATTCCTGGAACTTTTCCAGGTCTGGGTCTATGGGGTTCACTTGAGCTGTGTTATTCAATAGTTTGTCCTCATGGGGGTACAAATAAGGGGTGTCCTTTGGCGAGAAAAGAACCACTTGTTTGGATCCATAAACCTGAAGTAATCAATCTAATACACTGGATTGTTTTAATCTTATTCAAAGTTTGAAAGACAAAAAAGTGATTTTCTTGAAGGTACTGAATAAATCATCTAGATGCAGTTTATAACAAAACATGATATCTCAAGAGGTGTATCAAAATAAGACATAAGAGGACTGTAGTAAATCAAATCTAGCACTGTGTCATTACTGATATTTTAGCTGCATTTTCATTGAGGTTATGTTCTCATTGTTACCTGTTTATTTATTTATTCACTGTTCATTATACAAGTGACGTTTTCCTGAGACCATTTTGAGGAGAGTCTATACAGGGTGTCCGCTAAAAGGAGGTCAATCCATTAACCATATATTCCTTGAACAAAAACAATATGAGTTTCTAAATACCATTTTTCATTTTAGCCCTTCATATTCGATATACAGGGTGTCAAAGTTGGAAATTGAAAACTGTTTTTTTTTTTAATTACTCGCGTATTTGATAAGATATTTATCTCAAAATTGGTGTATTACTTCAGCACAAAGAGTTACATCGTGTGAGGAAAACAAAACAGGAAATAACTGTCAAATATTCAAAATACTGAGGGTCAAGTACACACCCCCATATTTTTTTTGTATGTGCGCTAATGACTTTCAATCTATTTTTCTTCGAATCTTCAATAATTTTTGAGTATTTTTTGTCTCTTGTGGAATTTCGATAAAACTATTTGTTTTTGATAATTCGAAAAGTACTGGTTATTGTTTGATGCCTATGTCTCATAATGTTCACATACTCCAATTTATTTCGTCGAAATTGGAAGAGGGCGTAAATTTTTACGTACGAAAAGGTAAATATGGAAATACCGGGTGCTCAGAGCGAATGTATAAAAATATGTTTTACGAAAAAAAATTGAAAGAAATTCAACACGTCTAAATAAATTGCTCGATATGACCTCCAATTTTTTGAATGCACATGCGAGCCCTTTGAATTAAAGAAAATCTTAGCCTTTGAAAGATATGTGGCTTATACACAAAATCTTTCATACATCCCCAGAAAATCCTGATCTGCTATTTCTTCCGTCAATTTTCGAAAATATTTTTTTTAAATTTGTTTCGATTTTATTTCCCGTTCGTTCGCGCTCGACATACCAGGAGGGGGGGCTCGACAATATTTTTAAAAAATTCCGCATCCGCCAAAACCGCTCAAACCGATTTTGAAAAAATTTTAAAAAATTTGCTGTAAGAATTATTTTTATACATTCGCTCTGAGCACCCGGTATTTCCATATTCACATTTTCGTACGTAAAAAGTTACGCCCTCTTTCAATTTCGACGAAATAAATAGGAGTATGTGAACATTATGAGTTTACCGTAAGCCGCATAGGCATCAAACAATAATCAGTACTTTTCGAATTATCTTTAAAACAAATAATTTTATTTTTTCAAGATACAAAATATACTCAAAAATGATTGAACACTTGAAGAAAAATAGATAGGAAGTCATTAGCGCACGTACAACAAAAAAATATGGGGGTAAGTGTGTACTTGACCCCCACTATTTTGAATATTTGACAGTTATTTCCTGTTTTGTTTTCCTCACACGATGTAACACATTGTGCTGAAGTAATGTACCAATTTTGAGTTCAATATCTCATGAAATACGCGAGAAATTGAAAAAAAAAACAGTTTTTAATTTCCAACTTTGACACCCTGTGTATGGAATATGAAGGGGTAAAATGAAAAATGGTATTCAAAAACTCATATCGTTTTTGTTCAAGGAATATACGGTTGATGGATTGACCTCCTTTTACCGGACACCCTGTATATAAACTTGTATCCGGAAATACTTCTTTTCAAAGATACAGGGGGTTGAAATTGAATTTTTTCTTTGGAATTTCAAAAATAACTTTCTCAAAATATAAGTTAATTGCAGGAAATTTGTTACTCTGTGTTTTTTGGCGTGGAAAATCATAATTTCCTATTAATCTTCATGTAATATCTACTTAATCTAGAGGGTGCTGCATATGCTGTCATTATTTATTTCAAATTGCCCTAACACTTTGGACAGTACTTCTTCTGGTACTTTTGATGAGAAAACCTCATTCCCACATCTTTTTCAAGTAAAAAAGGTACACTTCCTCAACAATGCTGTGTTGAATAGGGTGTTGAACCTACCTGTGCTAGAATATTATTCTTTGGGTCATGATGTAGTGGTGAAACTGTATTTCCTGGGCCAAACCAAGCATTTATATCAGGATCTGTGGAATTTTCATAATCTGTGCTCAAACAGCAATATTCAGGTATGTGTATGTCTTCTTTGAGTTCACTTATCTGAGAAAAAAAATGAAGACTATTGAGGTGTCTAGGCTAGGGAGATCAGTTTCTCCAAACCTGTTCAAATAGGTTATGTTGTGCCAAATATCCTACATTGCCGGAATCAGACAAGTAATGCCTGGTTATGAATTCTCTGAGAGTCATCAGTTTTTGGCTCCAATTTTCATCAACATAGTGAGAGCCTACTTCAATAGGCACTGTTCTGTCACCAGCTATTTTTAGTAAGTAGTTTATGTCTAGCCATTTTTTTGAAGCTGGCCAATGTTCCATACAACCTGAAAAATCTAGTACAAATGAGGAAACTAAAGGAATTATTGAATCTACCTTTTAATTTGACAGGTTGCTGTGGTAGAAAATAAGTTTTATTGAAGTGTTCTAGAGAAGGAAGTTCTACAGAATCTAATATTATTCCTTTCAATTCATCAAATTTGCCTTTAAAATCATGGTCTAGTTTTCTTTTGCCTTGTTCATGGCTTTTTCTCTTTTCTGGATTGTCTGTTATTCTACCAATTTCCTGATTCAAATATTTGGCTGAGCTTGTAAGTAAATCTTCATTGTTTTCCAGAGGGGCTCCCAGCAAAAGTCCCATGTCAAGACATTTCAAACACTTTTTCAATAGTAATTCAAGGGATTCTTCTGGTTTTTTATTCAGAATCAAAATGAGGCATTTTGCAAAACTAGCTGTGGAAAAGTTATGCCTCACATAAAGGGGAACATTGCTCCAATGACCAGTGTTCAATTCATCATGTAAAAAATCCAAAATGGTTTCAATTTCTATAGATTTATTTAAATCTCTGTGTTGGGTGTTTCTTTCTAGGCAGTAGGATAAACATTCTTTGAGCTTCTCTGTTATAGTTTTATTAAGCTTAGAACATTGTAAATCCATCAGCTTATTTCTATCATTAATAAACTTCATCATCATTCCTATAAATTGATTACTTTCAAAAGTTTCAAACAATCCAGATTCATTACTCATGATTTTATATTAGATAATCCCAAAGATCTAATATCATGCATTGATCTTCTATATATATAGTATCAAAATCTGAAAATAAATATAATTGGATTACCTACCTCTAAAAGTCTAAAACTAAAGATCATATCTTCAATAATTCATTAAAATTCCTTGATAAGATTATCAATGAATCATCCTCATCCTATTTTGTAATCCACATTTCCACAAGCAATTTTGAAGAAAGACGAAAGTACATACATTGGCGTCATTGGACTGACTCATTTGGAATATTTGGATTGGAGTGATTGGACTGATTGGAGTATTATATGGAGTGAAATTTTGGAGTTGCTTGGACAAAAAAAGATTTGGGAGTGGGCGGGTGGGAGGATTTTCAGGAGTGTCTACTCGTCAGTACAGACAGTACGATATCACAGTTTTCATATGGTATATGGTGTTTGCACTGATGCGCTTGATATCAGCGCCTCTTACGGATTTTCTATGAACAAGAACCTTCCAAGTGTCGTCAGTTTTTGACCAATGTAACCATGCCAACCAGCCTTGATTAAGGACACGCCCAGGATGAACAGAAGATGGTGTAGAAACTCAAGGTTGGTAGAACTGATTATAATTTGTATAGGAAGGTTGCCTCGATCGATAGTGCGGCAAGGGGGGAAACGGTCACTCGTGACGTCACAGGCAGTGAGACGACAAGTTGTCAACCTTAAAGCGACATGTCATGAAATGTTTACCAAATAGAGTATACAAACATGATACAAACTTTTTGGTCTGCTCAGCATATATTAATTTATAGTATATCAGTAAGTACCATTATAAAATATGGATATTTACATATACTTCTGTATAATACCTTCAATCTTCGAAATGAGAAGGCAATTTTGGATGGATCAGTAGTACAGAGAGGAATACCTATCTGAAATTTTGTTCCAGGGGCTATTTACCAGGTCGTGGTACCAGGTATGTGTGTTTTGAGGTATGGAGCATAATTATGGAGCTAGTGATTACTTATGCATTGATTATGAACCTACTCATCCTATAAATATCCTGCAAATCAGATAATGTGAACAAGAAACTACAGAAAATATAAGAATGATCAACTAATGATCCAGAAGTAGTAGCAGTGGACCAATATTCGTACACAACAGATCACTTATTTTATCAATATAACTCTGTATTCTGAAAATTTAACAAACTTTCCTAGATACCTATAGAAAATACAAGAGAAAATAGTATTTCATTGTTTGATTATATTGTAGTCAAAAACAGAGCAATTGATCGAAGTATTTGAGCATAAAAAAATAACAAAATTAATGAAAAATAACACTACTATTATAAGTGAACCTATAATAAAGGATAGTTTAAGGAATCTCTCAAATAAACATAGCTCCTCTTCGTTGGGTAACGTACTCTTGCTCAAATATCTCAACTTGAAAACACGTGTGATATCTTCTGATGTCCATTTTACCCGTTCAGCAAGAATCTCAACATTCACAACTGGTCTGGTTCTGATCATTTTTCCAAACTTCCATACTTATGGTGTTTCTCTTGTATTTGGTATTATTGATGGGATTCCTACCTTGAGTTTTCTTCTCTTTGGTGTGTGATTTAGCAATTCTGCTTGTGCCATTCGAAATCCTCGGCATCGAAATGGGCAGAACATATTCGCCAAGTTTTGGTATTAAATGAATTAAAATTACGTCCACAAAATTGAATCCATTTCTCACGAATAGACTCATCTTATGGAAATTAATGGAAACACAAACTGAATTCACTAGTCTCATTACACTTGTACGAATTTTAACAAGAAGTGACCAAACAAATTATCATTTTTACATTTTTAGGTTCAAAATATTGTTCAAAATGGTTCAAATATTCGAAAATACTGACAACTGTCAACTCAATACATGCGCCGGCCAATCGCCGGCGTACATATCATACACGAAGTGTACGAGAGTGCTACACTTTTCGTGCAAAAGAAAGGGCCTATTACGTCATGAGTTACTCAAGGTTACTCGCGGGGTGCGATCGAGGCAACCTTCCTCTACAAAATAGTCATCAGTTCTACCAACCTTGTAGAAACTCCTATCAAATCCCATCCACTGTTTCTCGGTCAAAGTTCTTGACCTACGGCTTACTTGACAGAAGGATTCTTTTAGTTATCGCGGAATATAGGTCGCATTTTACCCGTTAGATGGCGAAATCTGAACCAAAATTCAAGGTTGGTAGAACCGATGATAATTAAAATTCCCCAGAATTACAGTTTCGTACTTTCAAATTCAATCTAATTTGATTTGAGGTTATGTTATGAATGTTACGATCAATTGCGATATCATTATTTTTGGAGGAAGCGGTGTGTAAGCGCCGTTTTCTGTCATGAAAGAAATCTGTAAAAAGTGTCGCCATCTGGCGGACAACTGAAAAATAATATGCCATTGCGGAATCTGCGGTCAATCGTTTTGAGAGAAACAAAACACTCTCTGTGATCACACCATATTCTATCCACCTTGAAACATCTCACTAATCTCTGAAAAGACCTGGGTTAAGACGGAAAGTGCACACATTTTCTCAATATATTATCTGAACATTTCTAGAGGTTTGTCTTTCTTATTGGAAAGTTACTATCACTCCGTGCTCTTTATACAATCTGAACGTTATTTTTTTATATGTACGCTGGACTATATTATTATTATTACAACTTGCGGAAAGCTAGCTACAACCTCATGGAAATTCATACAAAAACCCCTCTTTATTGGTCGATTAGTCACTACTGGATGAAAATGCGAAACTAATGAAAGAAAAATAATTATCAATAATAATTTGAATAATTTAGCAATTAGCAAAACCAAATCAGTAATTTTTGTCTCAAACTAAGAATAATCCACAGTCCAGACTAGGAAATTTTCATCGATTTGGAATGTAACAAACAAGGTAGAGCTAAAAGCAACACGATAATCGATATCAAGATTATCAAAAAGAGATAAAAGTCAGCAACATGTCTAGTCCATAGTTCAGATAGAGTGGTGGGCAATGAATTGTTCATAGGTAGGTAGGTAGGCAATGCAGTGTTGACACAGGCAGAGCGAGAGCACCGACAAGAACCAGGCCAAATACTACTCATCACATAAATGTCTCATTCACACTACCTACTTAGTACCTACACCTAGTGTTTTCACAACAACAGTCTCCCAAGCATTCTCCCAAGTAAGTTATTCTTCAGAAGAGGTCTTGACTTGGGTCTTGGTCATTTCAAGTTTTATTTTTCAGGATAAATTCGGCTACTTCTGAACAGAATTATACAAACACAAAAACTGACTAAATGTGTGTTGTATCAACACATGTTTTATCGTGATGACTGATTTCAAACCTAGATTTGTTAAGCCTGCTGATACCAACAGTTATTTGGATAAAAGTGAATCATATGCTATAGAAACATCAGATTTTATTTACAACAAGCATATATCACAGTCTATCCAAACTCAGAGGCAGAGATTACCCATATTCAACAACAGAAACCATATTCTTTATCTGCTGGAAAAGCATCAAACCCTTATTTTAGTTGGAGAGACAGGCTGTGGGAAGAGTACACAAATTCCACAGGTAAGTCCCAATTATTATACTTGTCATGTCATTTCATACCTATCTGTTATTAATTTTCAAAACTCAATGGAGTGGTACCTATGACATCCTGTATATAATACTTTCAAAATTGCACATTATTTGGGGGTTCATGCTGAAAATGTAGTCAGTAAAACAGAAAACAAGCTGGGATCTGTGGTACATGAAGAGTTAAATAAATTATAAAACAAAAATAAATCCATTATATAACAAAAATAAATCCATTATATAACAAAAATGAATCTGTTCATTGACAATTTTTTTTGACAGATAGATGATCATTGAAAAAAAAACATGAATTCCATTTGCTTATTCCTATGTATAACCAGAGATTATGTATAATCTTTGATATATAGCTATCTAATTGTGTTTTATATTTTGGAATCAATCAGTTTCATCTTTATTTTTATACCATTATTTACTTTACTAGATACAATATCCATGAATTATAGGATTATATTATCTACAGCCTAATAAAAATCTTGATAAGTAACTTTTTTCAATTTCAATGAAAGCTCAGTATTGATAGGAAAAATCAGGCAAATAATTTATTGTGATATAGCTCCAGGAATTGAATTTGATGATAATAGCTAGTTCATTTTCATCCTATACAGGGTGTTTCAAAAAAAGGTGACTTCCTTGCTAGGGTAGGTATAACACTGCAAAATAAGTTGAGTTTGCTCAGTAACAAAATGTCCAAGATACAAGGCGTTGAAAAAACTACTGGCAACATTGTAATGAAATTTTGTAGACTTGGCAACATTGTGCTGAATGCTGAGAACTGACAAGACCACGCCCGCAAGTCATGCGCCGTGGTCACGTTCACTGATTCAAATATCCTCTAGTGTGAATTAATATAATTATTATGTACACAAATTTATTATTAGCAATAAACCACAAAACATAAGGGAACATTTTGAGAAAATTGAATTTTTATCGCTAATTAGGAATATTACCAATACTCAATTGAGAATTTATGAATTATTGAATAACTAATATTTCTGAAGTTCCCAATTTTATTTCAACACATGGCAACTATGCTATGGTCTGCCCCTACTTAGGAAATCTTGGCTCAGGTTTTACTAGCGGAAAATTTCTAGCCGTTTGAAAATTACCGTCGCATGATTTTAGCACCTAAAAATCAACCGAAAAATTCTTGAAAAATATTAAATTGGAAGGTATCTGAGTGATGATTCTTTTTAAAAAATTTAAAAAAATTGCCCACGCGCCTTATTCTGATAAGTGCGAAACACTGATGATTTCAGGAGATTGAAAGCTCTGAAAATCCATAATAAAAAATACAGGGCCGTATTCTAAAAATCAAAGTTGATGATGGAAGCTTAAACACGAGACATCTGTTTGATAATCTGATAACACCATCTTGTAGAACAAAAAAAGAAGCGATGCGATGCGATGATTCAAATAGAGTCATGAAAAAATAAAAATGGAATCGCCAAAATTTGGATTTTTCCAAAAATCTTAGGAATCCTTCAAATTTCAAAACGACATTTTGTTAGCCATAAAATTGTGCAACTTTATCATAATTTAACCGACCCTGTATCTTTTATGGTTTACGAGATCCCAATGAAGAGGCTCCAATCTCAGCCACCCTGTATATCTCATCATATTCCCTAGCTCAATACCAAGATCCTTATTAATTCTCAAATCCCCCATTTCCTTCAAAATACATCGATATTTTTCTACAGTTATATCCAAAAGTCTTGATACAAACATGCATGGGCACAGCCAGAAAAAAATTCAGGTTTTTTTTTATCAAAAATATCACGACGAAATATACAGTGTGTCCCACTTACCATACTCACCATGGGTATCTTTTTAACGGTGAGAGATACGAGGTCGGTTAAATGACACCAAATGTGGAGTTTGTCAAGGCCAACTATAATGAGAAAAAATATTTTGATAAAATCTATTCGTTTTTGTTTTATACGCAAAAAACAGATTTTGATCATTTTCATGTCTCCTCCGTAACTTATTTATTTATGAAAATATTTGAATAGGAAATCCACATTCTCATGGCAGTTTTTCAAAGTGATTTCGAAAAAAATTTGAAATTTATACCAACTCTTCTAGAATTTGAGATATCAGCACCAACTTTTGTTTTTCGAATGTAGGTCATAGCTCACTATGACTTAGTTACAATTAACTTTTTTTTTCTCTTAGAGATGATATGTCGCAGTAATAGTTTTGTGTTGATAACAACGGAGTTATCGTCATTTATACATAAACAAAATATTTTTTGGAAGCCGCCATCTTGAATTTATAAGTTTGAACAAAACAATCATGATCTTCGACCTTGAAAACCCCCACTTACCAATTTTGAATGGAATCGGACCAAATCGTGTCCTCCATCTTGGAGCAGCCATTTTTTTTAATTTCAACAAAAAATCCATAATGTATTGTCACCGAAATTATCAACACCTGCCAAATTTCAAGTGAATCGGAGTTATGGAATTTTTTGTTGAAATTGAAAAAAATGGCTGCTGCAAGATGGCGGACAAGATTTGGTCTGATTCCATTAAAAATTGGTGAGTGTGGGTTTTTGAGGTCGGAGATCATGATTTTTTTGTTGAAATATATAAATTCAAGATGGCGGCTTCCAAATAATTTGTTGTTTTTGTATAAATGACGATAACTCCGTTGTTATCAACACAAAACTATTACTGCGACATATCATCTGTAAAAGAAATAAGAGTTATTTGTAACTAAGTCATAGTGAGCTCTGACCTACATTTGAAAAACTGAAGTTGGGGCTGATATCTCAAATTCTAGAAGAGTTGGTATAAATTTCATATTTTTTTCGAAATCACTTTCAAAAACTGCCATGAGAATGTGAAATTCCTAATCGAATATTTTCATAAATAAAGAAGTTACGGAGGATACATAAAAATGATCAAAATCTGTTTTTTGCGTATAAAACAAAAACGAATAGATTTTATCAAAATATTTTTTCACATTATAGTTGGCCTTGACAAACTCCACATTTCGTGTCATTTAACCGACCTCGTATCTCTCACCGTTAAAAAGATACCCATGGTGAGCATGGTAAGTGGGACACACTGTATAAAGTAGGTTCAGTTTTCAGTTGTTCAGGTGATAAGTAGTATAACAACGAATTTAAAAAAGATAAGATAAGATAGACCCTAATCTTAGAAAAATATACAAAAATTGGAACTCTTTTGGTAAATCAAATAAAATCCAATTGAACTTCTTATTAAAAATGTATATATGTATATAGGTACGAACATTATTTAATGAAAAAATATAGCAAGATGCAAGTATAGGTAACAAAAATATAAATCAAACAATATTTTTTCACCAAAATATCGCTTCTAGACTGAAAAGCTTCCCCCTTCCTTGCCCCCAAGTGGTGGCGCCCATGAACACATGGGTTTTTATCAATACACTGCATAACCATTACAGGAATGTCACATAACATGCCAGAATTTTCATTATTCATTTGTAAATTATTATTAAGCATTCAAAAAACATCATTCTAATTCGCATTTTACTCGTTTTAGGTTCACAGCCACACCATCCGTGTATTCTAGTCGTATCTCTCCTATTCTTATATTCTAAGACTGAACATGTAGTTACTAGCCAAACATCACACTCACAAACTAGCGTTGTTAATTAAAAAAAAAACATGATAGGCCCGTCTTCGCAAATCAGCAAAATCCTGCTGACCCTCCTATTACTGCTGATATGCTTCTACCTCTACATGGACTTCAACCTCTACCTCCGGATCCACAACTACCCCTTCGAACCCGACGACAATAACACCCTGAGCTACCACGAGGTAACCTGGCTGTCCTGCCACATCAACCCCCTCTGTGATGTTACAGTGAAAGCAGTCCTTCTAGACCACACCAACTATTACCTGTTCGCCCCCCTGGTGCAAATAGTAGACGATGTCCTCCAAATAAGCTCCACCAAATGGATAACCCCCAATTCCATAAGCTTCTTCCATATCTTCGTTGCTATACTGAGTGCTAAATGCGTCTCCAGCAACAGCTTGGCTTACAGGCGAGTGGGCGTGGTCTTGTTCGAGCTAAGGACGTGGTTGGATGACCTTGACGGTCACGTGGCTAGAGTGCGCAAGCACATAAGAGGCGAGCGATCGGAGATCGGTACGGCCGGGTACTATGTAGATGGCATTTGTGATGCCATCGGGTGCACTGCTTTGGTGATAGGGGCGTTTGTTTTTCTGAAAAACAACCCTCCTAGGCGGGGGTACGTTCAGTTGCCCACTACAATAGACAGCAAGGAGGCTAGTCTGGTTTATAGCCCGAAAGTGACTACTAGGAAAGTAGTGAGGAAAGTTTGTTGTTTTGCTTTGCAACTGATTATCAGTTCGACGGCTTGGAATCGGTACATAGCTTTGTACCAGGATTTGTTGGAGGATGTTGAGGTTTCCGGTTTGGGTAGAGAGAGGCAGCAACAGGTCTTCCGGAGTTGTTTTTTCTTCGTCGTGGCTTGGTTGTGGCGGGTGATTAATGTTCACAGCTTGACGCATTTGTTTTTGTTGTCGATTTTTTGCGACAAGTTGTGGGAGTTTTTGAAGAATGTGCAGTATATCGGGTACGCAGTGCTCTTTTCTATCGTTTGCATCACTGAGTTCAATATTATCGATGTTAAGAATTTTTTGTTTCATAAGTTGAATGGTTCGAGTACCATTTGAAGTTGGGAGTTGTTTTGTTGTGATATTTTTAGTAGTTTGTTGTTTAACTCGGACGAGGTTTCTTTTATATTTGAAATTGGTCGTTTTATTTGAACTATTATATGGTTTTATAAATATTAGCATATTTGCTTTTAAGAACAAATAACGTCAACGCACAATGTTGGAGTTATGACTGAATAAAATAAGGGGAGATCAACGATAGAATATAGCTGATATCGGAATAAGTATTCTAACATGTTTAAAAATAACCATTGTCATTCTAAATGAAAACCTAATAGACGAG